AAAATTCACCCCCCCCCCCCCCCCCTTACAATTGTGCACAAAATTCAGAATTGCGAAAAAAAGTTGCTTTTATTTTATTTTTTTTAATTCAATGGTGGAAACAAGATTCCATAAAAATATCTCTAGCACGAGAGTTGTCATTAAAATATAAATATTATGATCATGATTTTATTGCTTCATTAAGTACGGACAGAGCATGAAGAAAGGGAATTTCTGTGAGGTAGACTGTATATAACCTTTTAATATATATCTATATATATAATTCAATGGTGGAAACAAGATTCCATAAAAATATCTCTAGCACGAGAGTTGTCATTAAAATATAAATATTATGATCATGATTTTATTGCTTCATTAAGTACGGACAGAGCATGAAGAAAGGGAATTTCTGTGAGGTAGACTGTATATAACCTTTTAATATATATATATATATATAAATATATATATATATATATATATATATAAATGACAAAAGTATGTTTTCTTTTCACGTTGTCTGCAGTAGTTGAATGGGACGGATTACACATGGACACGTTTCAAACACACTCTATCGCACACACAAACACGCACAAGTATAACGGGCTTGCCTTTTAATATGCATTTGTTATTTTGTTACAAACAAAATTAGTTGATAAAGCACCCCTGCATATACTCAGTCACCCATTTAGATAAAACACTTTTTTAAAATGTGCTCCACTCTGTACAAAGACATGGCACGCAATGTTACGTTATCACACACCTGTTGTCGTATTTTTGTACAATTGCATAGAAGTTGAAAAAACTTTTTTTTATTATTATTAATAAACAATTCTAGACTCGCTGTAAGAAACTACTGAAACTACTAAAGATCAAATCTACAAAGTGGAACCGCGATCCTTCAGAAAAATAGATTTTTATTTATATTTCCATTGTAAACATATCCTGTCCAGTTGTTGACACTACAAAAGCATGCAACTAGGAGAAGACATCTTCAGTCTAAATCCTGCTCCTCAGTTATTACATTAACCAATGACTCCATGGCATGTCCAATGTTATCAACCATGTGGAAAAGACTTCCCACATTAGCACCTGCGGGAGATGGAAAAACAAAATCTGATGTCAGTGCTTGAACATGCAATCTAACACTAAACGCACTATGCGCTGCTAAACATATCTATATAGAGGAACAGAGTATCTGAAAGACACATTTCAGATATCAGATTTTCAGTTTTGAGGGTGGGTGTTTACATGCACAATATTATACTGTTACCACAATTACCACAATCTCACACTGATTTTATATTAACAACTTCAATGGAATTCTGTCAGTTAAGCTAATGTGCACGTTTTAATTTGATATTAAGAACACAATAAAATTTTCTTTTAAATTGTAATATTTCACAATATTACTGTTTTTACTCCATTTCTGACCAAATAAAAGCAGGCTTAGTGATCAAGAGACTTCTTTAAATCATAGTGTAAGTGGATAAGTAAGGATGGAAAAGAGGAAAGGGTTAGTAACAATACTAACCTCTCATGGGTTTAGCCGCCCACCTCCTTAGACAGATGAAAACAGGAAAGAAGAAAAAATCAGTAAAGTTGGGAGTAGGGATAGGCAGTTAGACTGAATCTTAACAGGATCTGTACTGCCAGCACAATGAATGCTTGGAGATTCATATATAACTGCTATTTATATAGTCTAGGGATGCACCAATACCGATACTGGTATTGGTATCGGTATCGGGCCCGATACTGCACTCCTGTACTCGTAAAAATGCCCCGATAGCAAAAGTCGATACCAAACAGCGTGTGAATAGAGCTGTGTCCAGAAAAAGAAACACTGAAAACAGAACAACAGAGAGTAGAATGGAGTTATTAGAGATTAAGGATGTCTATGAAGTACATGTAAGTAATTAATATAATGTTAAACATTCAATATTGACGCCTGTATTGCGGATGTGCCCGAGCTGATAAGCAGAGCGCGCTGAGTAGATTGAGCGCGCAGCTGCACAGATGCACGAGCTTGTCGAGTGAATATCTCACAGACTTCACTGGAAAGTTTGTAGTTTGGTGGGATATGTCAAAAGCAAGTAAGTAAAACAATGCACAAGTTACTAAAGTTATTTGACGGTAAGGAGAATGAGAGTGAGAGAGAGTCCGAGAGCGCCATTAGCGCATGCATTTGGATTAAAACTAAATCATAAATATAAAACAAACAAAAATTATAGGGTTATATACGTTATTTTAAATGTCAAGCATACACAACTTTAAAGCAGAAGTGAAACTAGCAGACTGGGTAAAATGCGCTAGGCTGTAAGTGTCTCTCTCATTCTGCACCAATACAGACGTGTGCGCGCTGCGTATGTTTAGCTTGCTTTAAAGCCAAAGTATACTTCGGTTTTTACTCGTACGCGAGGGTCTGTGTACACTGCGCGTGACGCAAATTACATCACCAAAATAGTATGTGCGCACTCGTATAATGTATAACGAGTGGTTCCCTGCACTGTTTTAGGAAAGCGTTTTGTGATTACAGTATTGAGCTGCTGCAATGGAGCAGCTCTAATGCGCCATTAAAATGAACAGTGAAAGTAACAAAAGCTTATACAATACATTTTAACAGGTATAATTAAGTGTGGAAATAACTGAAGGTAATATCTGTTTGCTAAATGAAGCCAACTAACATGATTCATATTATTATTACTATTATTTTGTTTCTGTACCCAATATTTAAAAAAAAATTACAAATGCTGTGAAAATACAGGTATTGGTATCGGCAAGTACCAAAAATTTAAGTATCTGTATCGGACTCGTTCTGAAAAAAGTGGTATCGGTGCATCCCTAATATAGTCCTAGTTCTTAATGCTTTAATTACATAAACGGTAAGTTTTTTTTATTCATTTGTAATTCTGTGCTTCTCACAATACATATCCTGTTAAGAGTCACTGTTAGAAAAGAGAAACAGCTTTAAGTAGAACATTCATCAATGTTAATTTCTTTGTTTTAGGTTTTGCTTATTTACAGTTGAAGAGTCGTTCTGTCATTTAAAAAATCATATTTTCATGTATTATTATATTTAAAAATTATATCCTCCATCTATTCCCAACAAGAAGTAGAAACATAAGAAACAGTGTCATTTAGCGATTTAATTATGCAAAGAGTAGAAATGCAGTGGGTCAGAGAAATTTACAGGTTGTGATCACCGCAAACTCATATTTTCTTCATATTGCTCAAAAAGGAATCAAAAATTTGCCAAATTTGGCATTTTTCTCTCTTCTGACCAAAGTAATCAATTTCTCTATATTTTTGCCCTTTAGAAAGTCATAGAAACACAATTGTGAATTGTTTATTTTGCTATTGGAGCGAATGAGAACGCAAAAATATATTCATTGTAGTTTCTGTTCACCACTATAGAAGTTTACCCAAATATGACGACTTCTGAGGTGCTCAGAAATGTGAATAGGGTCCATAACTTGTGGCCAGTTTAAGACTATCTGCATCAGTTTGCTTGATTAACAGAAGTGTTTGTATCAGACTCTGTAGCTGGATTCTCACCTTGGCTGTGGGGGAAGGAATTGTTGAGCTGCTCGATGACGTCCTCTAATCCAGTGCTTGCATCCTGGGAGGAACTGGACAGCTCATCATCACCTGAAACACACAGCAGTCACCCAATTAAAACTGAGAACTGACCTTAAAAACCCTGGAAGTTGTCCTGCCGCCCATGACATTTCATCTTCAAACAGAAAAGGTGTTATTTTTTTATTACAACATATTCATTACAGATGCGAAAACCATTTCAACAATTTGACTAAACAATGAAATCCAGAATGATGCATTTTTTTTAAGATAGATTTTTCTGTCATTGAATTTGAAGGCTTACATAAAACCCCTGATTTGAAATGTTTCAGACTTTTGGAGCCAGCTGTATGTGAAATGATAAGAAATGAGCATTAAAGCAATCAAGTTTAGCTCAATAAAATCCATTTTACATTCATGCAGAACTCTGGCCAAAGTAAAATTCAAAAAATGAAAATTACAACACACTTGTAAACCATCTTGTTTTGTGATCTTGACAAAAGTGTTCTTGAGTTTTTGTCTTTTTGTCAAGAAAACTACAGAAATATAAAAGAAAGACCTCTTTATGTATTGTCAGTAATAAATAAAGCAAGAATAATATCAGCAATTGCAAAACTTCCAACTTCCAAGTCCAACCGAGGTCATTTTGGTAAATATTACAAATTACAACAGCCAATTCTTTGAGACTTGTTTGTCACATGTAAGGTAGAAATCAACTACAAAAAAAGTTTTTAAAAAGTGTTATGTTAGGCTCGTGTAACAAATGAAACAAACATTATCAAAGACAGACATTATAAAACAGTGTTTAAGGTGCTGTAATTTGCATGTTTTCTTTGTATTTTTCACACCTTTTGCTTTAATGCAGTCTGTTTAAATGGTCCAGTGGTGTGATGAATACATTTTGAAAAAGTAGAAAACATTCCATACAGCATAAAAAAATAATTAAAATGGTATGTATACTAATCAAACAAGAATTAGAAAATGTTGTCTGAAATAGTATTAGATGTATTAGTAAGCACATCACACTGCAGAACACTTGAAATTTCATGTCAACGTATTAACCTCACGAAGTTCAGATAATCAATCTTATTCATTATGTAAAATGTATATTGAAAAATAGCACTAACGACAAGTGCATCTATAAAATTCCAGTTCCAGAAATACATATGAAAAGATAAAAGACTGTGCAAAATGGGTTTTTGAATAAAATACATTTCTGATTCATCAATGTGCTATTTATTTTTAAAAATAATGTTTAATAAATGTCAAACTGCATTTACAAAATGATTGATGTTTGTTCTTCAAATACCGAAGTACACCCAATTTTGTTGGAACCTTGTTGGACTGTTTTCTACGGTGGCCGAGAAGTGCAGAACAAATCACAATTCTGAAAACAAAAGAACAAATTACAAACGCAAATGCAAGTCTAAAAAACAAAATAATTCAGAAAACACAACAATTCAGAAAACATTATAACAAATTAACAAGTCATAAAACACAACGACAAATCAGACAAACCGGAAAAGGTAGGTATAGTTTGAGACAGTGCCATTGGTTTGGGATTACTCACCGCTGACTGGACGAGACATCTGTCAATTAACGTATACAGGGAAGAACCAGCCGAAGAACAGCAGAGTCGTGGTAGAAAGTTCGGAGATGGTATTAAAGTAGCTCAGTTTAAATGTATTGTATGAATTGCCCTTACTCTGGAATAAAAAATACGGGGAAACAAAAATTATAGGGTTATATACGTTATTTTAAATGTCAAGCATACACAACTTTAAAGCAGAAGTGAAACTAGCAGACTGGGTAAAATGCGCTAGGCTGTAAGTGTCTCTCTCATTCTGCACCAATACAGACGTGTGCGCGCTGCGTATGTTTAGCTTGCTTTAAAGCCAAAGTATACTTCGGTTTTTACTCGTACGCGAGGGTCTGTGTACACTGCGCGTGACGCAAATTACATCACCAAAATAGTATGTGCGCACTCGTATAATGTATAACGAGTGGTTCCCTGCACTGTTTTAGGAAAGCGTTTTGTGATTACAGTATTGAGCTGCGGTAGAAAGTTCGGAGATGGTATTAAAGTAGCTCAGTTTAAATGTATTGTATGAATTGCCCTTACTCTGGAATAAAAAATACGGGGTGTATATTTACATTTAGTTAAAAGTGGCTGTGAACATCAGCTCCAGTGGCGCAGATGGGTAAGTGTGTGTCACTGACTTTTTGACGCGATCGACCAGGGTTCGATCCCGCCTTTTGCCGAGCTTTTTTTCCCTCCCTTTTCAAATCTTGTATTAGCAATGGATTCTATTTACACTAAGTGAAAATAGCAGTATTTTTAGTGCAAATACCTAGATACACTATGTTAAAATAGCAGGATTTCTATTATCAATCTGCGCCACTGGAGCTGATGTTCTACAGCCACTTTTAACTAAATGTAAATATACACTCCGTATTTTTTATTCCAGAGTAAGGGCAATTAATACAATACATTTAAACTGAGCTACTTTAATACCATCTCCGAACTCTCTACCACGACTCTGCTGTTCTTCGGCTGGTTCTTCCTGTATATGTTGATTGACAGATGTCTCATCCAGTCAGCAGTGAGTAATCCCAAACCAATGGCACTGTCTCAAACTATACCTACCTCTTCCGGTTTGTCTGATTTGTCGTTGTGTTTTCTGACTTATTTTGTTTTCGAATTTGTCATTGTGTTTTCTGACTTGTTATAATGTTTTCTGAATTGTTGTTGTGCTTTCAAAATTGTTATTTTGTTTTTTAGACTTGTATTTGCGTTTGCAATTTGTTATTTTGTTTTCAGAATTGTGATTTGTTCTGCACTTCTCGGCCACCGTAGTTTTCTTCAAAAGTGAAGACAACAAATAAAATGTTGGCTAGCAGTTGAGGGCAAAGAGCATTTCTTTTGTATCCCTAAATATAATAAAATAAAAGCTCACTGTGTTCCTTTTTGTTTGGCACAGATAAGAACATTGCCTCTTTTTATCCGTTCTGAAAATCTTTTGCTGAAACCAGCCTGGGCTTCAAGCCAAGTCATACTGTACAATGAAAGCTTCAGTTACAGTTATTAAACATAATAATTGCAAGGAATGTGAGTTAACTAGTCAGATTAAGAAATTAATTAATACATTTTAACAATGGTCAGATAGAGGGGATTGCATTCATGACTAGTTTTTACTTGTACACAGAAAAATTCAAGAAACACCAAAATGGAAGACAATGTTTTGCCTATTATTTGAATAAATGCTTAAAAACAAATGTTTACACAACTGTCTATTTCTATGGAGGCTCATATCCGTTAAGGAATAAAAACTTAAAAAAGGTAACCAACTCTTTATCTCACTCAGAAACTCAGAATTGTGACAAAAATTCTGAACTTTGAGATAAAAAGGCACAATTAACTTTTTTATTTTTTCATTCTATGATGGAAACGGGCTTCCATATGTTTCAGTATTTTGCTAGGGATGGAAACTACTACGGATTATTATTATTATTTAGCCTGCTTAATTTTATTCATTCTATTTTATGAATAATCAGTGCTTAAGAGTTTAATCTGGTTAAACTGAAGTTGTTAGGGACATTTACCCATCGTCTCTGTGGTTTGGCTTGCGGCCACACGCAGTGAGGCCAGGCTGGTGTCAGATCTCGGAGAGGCAGTGGACGGGGAGGACAGGGCAGTGCCATTCACCTTGGACTCAGTCTGTGGCTAGGACACAGGCAGAAAGGAACCATATAGATTAGGCAGGGGATTGGACGCAAACATCAGCACTGGGTTGTACTTCTGTATTTCCAGATTCATTTGAAAACATCCATTTATATATTTTCAACCTAAGACTTCACATTCTTTTACTGCCTATTTTTTTTTTAAACCTCACAAAACTCTCTACTAATTTATTGACAAATTACCGAATTTTTGCCCCGAGGACTCTCTCAAAATATTAACAACTGCAGTATAAAACAAGAGCTAGGGCTCTCAGAATTGCTGTTTTTGCATCATTCAGGTTTTAAAAACAAGAGTCAAGCCAGCACAAAAATACACACAAAATAGCTCATGTGATGTCGCTTACAGTTTCTATTCAAATAAAATTACCCAGACAGTTTAAGTGATCAAAAACAGATGTCACAAAACCCTTTAGCAAATTGTACATTGCCCTATACATCAATATTCAGGGCTGTTGTCAGGGTTAAATAAGGACTTCTATAATATAACCTTTTAATGTGCATGTCATATACATCCATTAAAGGGGTCATAGGATGCTGCTAAAAAGAACATTTTGTGTATTTGGTGTAATGAAATGTGTTTATGCGGTTTAAAGTTCAAAAAACACTATTTTCCACATACTGTAGAATATTATTTCTCCTCTATGCACCGCCTTTCTGAAACACGTCGATTTTTACAAAGCTCATCAGTCTGAAAAGCGAACTGTGCTGTGATTGGCCAGCTATCCAGTATTGACCAAATACCTCAAGCGTGTGACGGAAATGTTACGCCCCTTACCATATTGTGATGCCGGTCGGAGCGACGAGGCAAAAAAATTAAAACCCATTATAAACGAGGCATTTGTTGCATCCAGTGGGGACATAATTATGAATTATAATGACTTATCCTGTCTTTTGACACGTGGCGTTGCATCGCGCTGGGTAAACATAAAACCATGTCTGCATTTGTGATCGGAGAAATGACAAACAAGAAGAGCTACTCTACACTGCTCTAGGCATGACGAAGCGGATATTGTCTTTCGGAAGGCCAAACAGTAGTTTGAAACACACAGCATCAATAAGACATGGCGGCAGCGGCGTTTTAATGTATTTTTCAGGTTTTCTATTTTATTTTTCGGGATTCTTTGATGAACAAAAAGTTTAGAAGAGTAGTATTTATTTGAACAGATTTTTTTTAAGGCCATACTACATTTTAGATCAATTTAATGCATTCGTGATGAATAAAATTGTGATTTCTTAAAAAAAACAAAACAACATGGCTATATTATTATTTACTCATGTATCTTAAATTTAATACTTACAATTAATTACAATTTTAGATACTACTGGTATCTTAAAAATAATCTACTTTAATGATGAAATGGTTTGTCACGGCACAACTATTTAAAGTTACTCCATTACTCAAGTGCTTTAATGAATGTGTTTAAACCTTCCACCATTAACAACTCGTAACACAAGACCTGACTGCCCTCTTGGAAAAAAGAATGATGGTTTTGGTCATTTCATTGGTCTTCCTAAGATATTTACCAAGCGAAACACATGCGCATATGTTATACATAAGAATGTTTATTAGCATATAACAGAGATAAAAAGTGAAGTAATTGATGCTACTAAAACAAGAACATACACTGGTAGGCAAAGGCTTGATTGTAAATGTAATGAAAATTCTACTTGGATCAAGAAAAAAAAAACCAAGCCAATAATCCATTGGCTCTGAACAAACTGAGAGCTAATTTATCTGCAAGTCGTTCATTGAGTCTGGTTCGTCAAGCTTCAGCAAAGTCGGCCACTGGAAGGAGCTGGAGTCTAGTGAGATTTTAGTTCAAACGGTCCACAGAGAACACATGGGAGACATTGCTTCAAGAACAAATCTGACATAAATCCATTTGGTAGAGATGCCCAGTTGACTAATGTTTTTTTTATTTTTTATAAAGTATTATGCATCGAGCCATTACACTTGATTCATCAAGACACAATGCAGCCAGAATATCTGATTTCCCATCTTTTCAAGCGGAAGGAGACTGCTGAAGAAGCTGACATTAAACAAACTCCACAAACAAATTACAGAAAGAAATGAGTTGCTTGAGAAAGAATGACAGGTCCTTCAAAATGTTCTTTTAGCCACCAAAAAGAACTGGCATTACAACTCAGCTTTAATAAGGACAGGATCAAAAAATGCCTGTTGTGTGGCAAAGTATGGTAGGAAAATATTCATAATATTCAATATTCAAAAAGCTTGAAATATTCAGTTACAACCTATAATGTATGTGCTATGTTGCCAATTAGGACAGAAAAAGAAAATTGTCACCTACAGAAAAAAAAAAAAGTGTACATTAATGCACTACAGATCTTTTCACACCAAGACTAAACAATGCTATATATATATATATATATATATATATATAGCATTGTTAGTTGTATCCATATATAGTTGTATATATATATATAGCAACTATTAACACAATCATTTAAACAAAATACTACAAAGTGTCGCAAAGAATTGTGGGATATGGTTTTTCAATTTTTATGATGACAAATTATTTGTTCAGTTTCACTTCCACATTACTGTTTAACAGTATTTTATTGTAAAGCATGAAATCTATGGTTAGATCTATAACATTTTTCACCATATATAGTAAGGGAACGTATCATTAACCAATTAAAAAGGTCTTTAATTTTGCATTTTTAGTCTTTTATATCTAAAATTGCAATCCTTTTTTTAATAGTATGATTTTTAATTCAGATATTCAGTTGATGAAACCAGATTCGATGGACCCTTGAGGAGTATATTTATATATTATTATGACTTGTTTTCTATTGAATTTAGTTTTAGTTTGGTTGTTGACCCTCAAAGGTCGTTTGGAGCGCTGAAGCCGCAGTAACTCTCCAGTCCGCTAGAGGCGCTCTTGATCAGAAACACTCTTCAGTATTTGACTCTGAAAAGACGACACAGAAGCGAACGAGGAAGTGCTGGAGAATAATATTTTGAAATCAATTGTGCATCATTTCCCCTCACCATTTTCATCTGTTGCATGCTTGGTAAGTTATTGTTATACGTTATTTCGCTATTCTACCTGCACAAGTCTCTTACGTTCTCGACTGTTATCTGAAACATCTGATAATAATGTTATCAGATTATCTGAAATCTCGACTGTTAATGCACTGCCTTTGCTTCATACAAACGAATACTTAAAAACTAGTGCTGTCAAACGATTAATCGCATCCAAAATAAAAGTTTTTGTTTACATATTATATGTGTACTGTGTATGTTTATTATGTATATATATGTAAATACACACACATACAGTATATTTAGAAAATATTTATTTACTTATATTTTATGTTATATATATATATATATATATATATTTAATAGATAAACATAATATATTTTTCTTAAATATATACATATATATATATACATGCATGTGTTTTGTTATTTGTAAATCTGGAATCTGAGGATGCAAAAAAATCTAAATATTGAGAAAATCGCTTTTAAAGTTGTCCAAATGAAGTTTTTAGCAATGCATGCTACTAATCAAAAATTAAGTTTTGATATATTTACTGTAGGATATTTACAAAATATCTTCATGGAACATGAGCTTTACCTTTATCAATCATTTTGACTCATACAATGTATTGTTGGCTTTTGCTACAAATATATGGCTCCAGGGTCACATTTAGGTTTAGATTTTTAAAATAAGACCTATATTGTAATTTTTGCTGCTGCTGCTTGCGAGTGAAATAATTCAAGAATGTTTGCTTTTATTTCCTCCTTATTCAGTCGCCATTCAAATATTCAGTACAAAGCATGTACAGTATTTAGTATGTGTTTGGTTTCTATTGTTATTCTTCATTATTGGTGTGATTTGGATGCTGACAGGTTGTAATGGAGACCCCTGAGCCCGGTCAGGCAGATGGAGAGGAGCAGATGGTGGAGCTGAGACCCAGGACCCGCTCCAATCCGGAGGGTGCGGAGGACCGGCGCAGCAGCACTGGCAGCCTGAACAACAGCCTGGCGTCCCCGCCGCAGCCGGCCGTGGGCAGCCGTGTGGAGGGAGAGGGAGAGGCGGCCAGCTCCGACAGCCCTCCGACTTCTGCCTCCGCTGCAGCTGCACCTGTTACTGCCACGGGAAACTCCACCGCCAGCCTGCCTGCCATGGCTTCCACAGTGAAGGAAAGACCCAAACCCCCTCAGGCGGCCATCGGCACCCAGATCCCCCCATCAGCCGAGCTACACCTGCGGGCGCCACGAGTCAACTGCCCCGAGAAAGTGGTACAGCTGTAAATAAACAGAACTTCAGGATATCTGCATCTGAAAACACTTCCGTCAGTGAAATTGTCTTTTTTTTTTTAAACAGATCATCTGTTTGGACCTTTCTGAGGAGATGTCTCTACAGAAACTGGAGTCATTTAATGGGTAATTTTACAGGTTTTAAATTAAATGGTTGGTTTATCGTATTCAGTTAGGAAAGACATTTTCTTCATATCAATGTTTCGTAAATGATTTGCATTTTCAGATCCAAGATGAATACCTTAAACGTTTCACAGAAAACAACAATAATAATTTTAAAACTTAAAAAATATATATATGTTACTTAGTATTATTATTATTTCCATATACAATTATTCACTGTGTATAGAAAATATGAAATATGTATCACAAATTCAAGACATGGGGATATCATTTAAACAAATCTTTGAATGACTAATGAACATTTAATTTCACAAACCTTGCAAACTTAGTCGGATCCAGTTGTGAGATCTTGTGAAGTGTGCATGTGTATCCTGCATGATCGCGTGTTCTCTGTGTGACGGTCGGTCCGTGTGAATTGAATGCTGACAGGAGGAGAGTTCAGCTTCACTGGAGATGCGTGATCGACAAACTTTAAACTAAGTTTGATTACTAAGTTGATGCTAATTTATGCTGCGCTTTATGCATTTGCCCACTGTCATATTCATGTCATTTTCATTGCGTGCTCTATGTAAAATGAGTGTTACCTTGGCTTTATTTGGAAAAAAGAAAAAAAAAAGTTTCCCAATGCACACAAACTTCCCAGAATACTGAGTGCCAGTGCCCTCTTGGTGTTTATTTCCTTTTTAATTAGATTTTTATTTATTAAATATTTGTTTGTGAAAAATGCTTTGTCTTCTAAAGTATAAGTATGTTTATTTTACACAATTATTTTTAATCCATTTTAAAATGATTTCAAATATCTTAAATATAAATTAAATTATATCGGCCATCTGCCTCCCTGCTTTCCAAGATATCGGCAGTCAAAAAACCCTTATCGGTTGACCACTAAAATATATATATATATATGTGTATGTATTTTATATCATTTAAACAAATCTTTGAATGACTAATGAACATTTAATTTCACAAACCTTGCAAACTTAGTCGGATCCAGTTGTGAGATCTTGTGAAGTGTGCATGTGTATCCTGCATGATCGCGTGTTCTCTGTGTGACGGTCGGTCCGTGTGAATTGAATGCTGACAGGAGGAGAGTTCAGCTTCACTGGAGATGCGTGATCGACAAACTTTAAACTAAGTTTGATTACTAAGTTGATGCTAATTTATGCTGCGCTTTATGCATTTGCCCACTGTCATATTCATGTCATTTTCATTGCGTGCTCTATGTAAAATGAGTGTTACCTTGGCTTTATTTGGAAAAAAGAAAAAAAAAAGTTTCCCAATGCACACAAACTTCCCAGAATACTGAGTGCCCTCTTGGTTACAGTGTTTACTTCTTTTAATTATATTTTTATTAAATATTTGTTTGTGAAAAATGCTTTGTCTTCTAAAGTATAAGTATGTTTATTTTACACAATTATTTTTAATCCATTTTAAAATGATTTCAAATATCTTAAATATAAATTAAATTATATCGGCCATCTGCCTCCCTGCTTTCCAAGATATCGGCAGTCAAAAAACCCTTATCGGTTGACCACTAAAATATATATATATATATATATATGTGTATGTATGTATGTATGTATGTATATGTATATATGTATATACACACTATTCAAACCATGTCTGATCAGAAACTGATGAACTGATTGAAATTAACTGATTGAGCAATAGAACAAAACCAAACCTTGAATGATTAGAACAACATTTTGATATGAAGGAAAATCTCCATAAAGATGCATTTATTTTAAAATCTTCTTGTCCATGCATTTCATGCTAAAAATGATTCAATGTGAATATGGTTGTATTCCTATTCTTAACACAATCAATATCATTTTGGCTTTCACAGTGCTGTGGACTAAACTGAAATAATTCTGAGTAGTAGTTATTATACAGAATTGTGAATGCCAAGGACAATTAACAGAGATCTCTGCATTCAAACAAAACAACATGAACTAACAATATTCCATGCAATAGTTCCAAGTCTTTGGTTTAAACATCTTTGAGAAAACAATATTCCATTTACTGCAATTTCAAAACTCGAAAGAAAAAACGATAAATGTATAAATTTAAACTAATCTTTGATGATCGATTTTATTTTTAAAACAAAGCTTTCAATCCACACATTTGCAGAAAATAACACATCTTTAAACAGATGGAACATTTCAGGAAGATTGTGTCAAAATAGACTCTTAGATTGAACAAATTCCTGGAACTTGCAACTGTACAAAACGCACATGTAGATGCAAATCCCAGCTCTAATACAAAACATTTTCTATATTCATCCTGACAGCATCTAATTTTAGCACAAATATTTCCTTTAACTACTTTAAATTGTTCAACTGATAAAACTAACTCGTATGTTAGACTTCTGAAAACAGCACACTAAAAAAAAAAAAATTTTGGCCGAATTTTAAGGAAACATTACGTGTCTATCACAGATCATAGATAAAGAAGTGCAAGAATGCATTGCAATGAGTCAAGAGAAATGTCAACTATAAATATACTTAATATATATTAATATACTGAAAAATATTGATAAAATTTACTTTCCCAAAAATGTTAATTATTTATATAACTGCAAATATGACAAACATTAAAAGTCAAAACCTGACAATAAAATATATCAATGCTCTGGGCATTTAATTTCTTCTGTTGACAATCAAAAGGAAGCACATGAACAGCGTTACATTCCACAGCTACGATTTGAAATATGCCTTGTAAAATGTCAGTGAGCAATCTGAAGACATTTACTCGTAGCAAAGTTTAAACAGGAGCTGACTGCTTGAGTTCCTTTACCAACAATTCCAAAAATAGTTTTTCACTTGCAGAGAAGTATAAACATTAATAAAATCTTAAGGATATGCGCCACCCACCTGCTCAAGTAACTGTCTAAGGCGTTTGAGCTGTGATTCCAGCTGTTTGTTGTGATCCTCCAGGATTTGCATTCTTGCTTCCAAACGTCCCTTGTGCTGCCGCAGTAGTTTGGCCTCGGCGATCAGTTCAGCGTCGCGTGGACTCTGGGGAGAGACGGGCAGCATCTGTGGGGGTGAGGGCAACGGCGACAGACCCTTTTGATCGTGTGCCTTCTTAAGACGATCGTACTCCGATTGCAGCTTCCTGCACAACAGGGAAGACAACTTCAGAAAGAAGCCAAGAAAACAGCAACTCGAGGAAAAGGGCGAGTCTGATAAATAAATAAGCATGTGCTGTTAGCATGGATTGCTCATTTATGGCACAGCTGGCACACCATGCAGCAAAATAATTATATTAATACTTTTATTCAGCAAGGATGCATTCAATTGAGCAAAAGTAACAGTAAAGTCTTTTTTTGAACATCAGCAAAGAATCCTGAAAAAAAATACAATGGTTTCCATAAAAAATATTAAAGGGATAGTTCACAAAAAAATAAAAATTACCCCATAATTTACTCACCCTCAAGTCATCCTAGGTGTATATGACTTTCTTCTTTCAGACGAATACAATCGGCATTATAATAAAAAATGTTCTGGCTCTATAATGGCAAGCTTTATAATGGCAGTGAATTAAAAATAAAAAATTTTTTAAACCGTAATCTGTAGCTTCCCCTAACTATCGTACATGCATTCACGAGAGAGTGGCGTTCCAGCGGAAGAAGCAAGACGTAGGTTCTTTTATGATGAATGGATGCACTTTTTTGGACTTCCAAATCTCGACCCCCATTCACTACATACATTTTATTTTTTTAAAGTAAAACTATTTTTTTTTATATTTCTAATATATTTTAGGGCTAAAAAATAAATATGCAACAAAATATTAAATTATTTTATTATTTCTGCTTTATCATCTGTTCACAATTTTAATATAGCTCACTGTGTGTAATATTAGACTCAAATGTGTAGCCCACGTACTGTACTGTGTGGGAAGATTCGTGTGCACTTGGTAGTACTTGGATGGTCAGATCCAACTTGGTTTGAAAAATTTGAGAACCACTGATCGAAAGCAAAATCAAATACTTAAATTGGTTACTATTTCAAATACCAGATGAGCCACGATAGATAAAGATATAGGGAGCATTTTCTTCTCTGTTGTAAAAGCTGAGCAGCCTGTTTATTTACTGTGCACGACTATATGGTTGGCTGCATTTGATTTTTTTCATTAAGGACTGCGTTTGGCTGAAAACATTTTCGGTTGTTGACCAACTATGAGAATCACCGATCTAAAGCATAAAACTTTGAATTAAATATGTGATTCACAAAAACTGCTGTGGAAGTAAATATGTGAAGAGTTATTTTATTAGAAATTTCTGAAAATGCAGTGTGTTATCACAGACATATGCTGATGGAATACAGTCCAGTGTCCATCCATCTCATTTCATTCAAATATCAATCATTTGAATTGTAAAAGAAAATAGACATGCAATCAAACCTGTTTTCCTGCTCCAGATCGTTGAGCACTCTCTCAAGATCCCCCTTCTCTTCAGTCTCCATTGAGATGAGGATCTGAGTGGGGCTCTGCGGCTGGCTGAGAGGAGAGCCTTGATTCAGACTCTGGCAGTAGTGCTGGATCAGCAGATGCTCATCATCCCTACAATAAAAACAACAACAGCAGCACTCCATTTCCAGTTCACTACATCACATCCATCGCTCAAGATTTCAATTAACATTTGCTGCCTTAAACTCCTAATAACTGAAAAATACACCAGTGCAATCGGCTTGTGAGCCGTAAGCTGGTCTAAAAACAATCCTATTGTTTTAATACCACAAAAAATGCAGTATAAGAGCATTTACATGTAATCGTTTTATTATAATTCAATCTAAGCGTGCTGGGAAAATGATATGGGTTTATTACTCATCTCTACTGCTTTGTGTATGGATAGAAAGAGCTGATATGAGAAATAAATTTTTTTTTTTATCACTTATAGGAATAGTTCACCCCCCAAAAAAATATTAATCTGGAATGACATGATCTTCATTTCTGGAGGAACTCTTCCTATAAGCACTTTCATGCACACATTTGACCATTTTTAAGTTGAAAAGGAAATGTTTTTATGCAACCACAAGCAGTTAAATGTATGCATCTACCTTTGGCATTCTGGGAGGTGTAAGTAGATCAGTTTTAGGTTCTTCACACACTATTACATTCATTTATGGTATGATACTATGTACAGAAGAGTGTAAAGGAGTTGCAAGCTCACATGCTTTCATTGGGCGATACATTGTCATTCACATACGAGCCATTTCGGATCTCCATTTCAGCTAGCCTGTGAAAACAGTATCATTCTGTATTCATTCATAAACAGTTCATGCAGTTGCATTCATTCATGTCAGTAAGGCAACACTGTTCCAACTTACGTGCTTGACATTAACACAAACGCATTTCATTTGTTACTAAACACTGCAAGCAACAGACATATTCAGAAATGCGTATTCATTCTGATATCATTCATCAATTCTTTCTCGTTAAAAAACTAATTTCAAACACATTTGTGTTATGACAATCGTACCATTGTACGGTATACACCATCACATCACCCAGCCCTAATGCGATGCGAGTCTAGTCTCTTAAATATACAGTTACATAGTAAGACCAAAATACCCATGCTTAAAAAAGACCGACCTGCTAGCGTAATGCTCGATGCGCGAGTGGGTGTCGTCATGGGAGAGTTGGGGGGAAGATGCTGGCCTGCCAGTGACAGTAGAGCAAAGGTCAGAAAACACAGAAGAACTGAACTCAATATAAATATAATTATATTATGGAGGAACAACATTTTATTTAACACTGAGCATTACTATACAAATTCAGCAGGGTCACTATAGAGGCGAAATCTGATAAAATCAAACATAAAACAATGATATCACATATAAACCATGTGGATTTTTTTAACACTATGACCTACTGTCTCTCAATATCTATATAGTTTATTGTAACTTATGATTTAGCCAAATGAGGGAACTCATTTTGAGCTGCTCTTATGTTTACAGTAAATATATGCAAACATAGTATACTGTTCAAATGTTTGGGGTCTGTAAGATTTCATTAAAAAAAAATTTTTTTTGATAGTAGTATCTTCACAAGGGGTGCATTTATTTGATGCTAAATACAGTAAAAACAACAATATGAAATACTATGACAATTTAAAATAACGGTTTTCTATTTGAATATATTTTAAAATGTAATTTATTGTGATTAAAATGTGATGGCAAAGCTGAATTTTCAGCAGCCATTACTTCAGTCTTTAATGATGATTTGCCAGTCAAGAAACATTTCTTATTAATTTTGAAAACAACTGTGCTTCTTAATATTTTTGTAGAAACTGATACTTTTTTCAGGATTCTTTAAATACAGAGAAATTAATTCAAAGTTTAAAATATCAGTTTTTTTAAATGAAAATATTTAGTAACATCAGGAATGTCTTTACTGTACTTCGCAAAATAAAACTAACCCCAAAACTTCTGAACAGCTCACACCCAATGAGTTAACATTAATAATAACTTAAGTTTTAAAAGCACCTAACATACCCTACACCATGGTAACATGTTAATCTAGCAGATGAATGGTTGAAGCCATGGGATGGACACACGTTTCAAAATATCTCACAGTTCTGAAAATGGAAGATGAGTGTTTATGGAAACTTGTGTATAATAGATCAGTAAATTTAAACAGTGTACTGCAAGTGATAAAACAGCTCTAATATCTACACCTTGCTTATGTTTGTTGACCACTACAACACTGGTGCTGGACATTGCGCTGCTGTCCATCTATGTGGATTCAGCATTATCCAACAGAACATCATTTACTGAACTCATTCTAGAAACTCAAGATTAATTTACTCTGCAATCAAATTCAAATCTGAATTTAAATTAAATTTAGATTTGAATTGCAAATGCACTCAATTTCAAATTAGGACTATGTGTCACATTTGAACTCTTAAGTGAAAATCCTGAATGTTTTTTCTATTCTGTGGATACATCAACGACACCAAAGGGCATGTTCGTATTATGTGATCCAGTAAGTGGATTTCTGTGGATGTGCGTGAGCATGTTGGTGTGTGGATGTACTCACAGATGGTCAACAGGCCAGAAGTTGATCAGTGTAACAGGACTGCAAGACAAAAAAAAGATGATGACGGACAGGACAAGTAGATGCATTGAAAGCATGATGTAACATGACTGTTAAGAAGCACCAAACACACAAACCCACTGATATGACAACACAGTTAAATCCTAACAGCATTTTCAGTGGCCAATAACATACACATCACGAAAAATGTGTCTGTTGAGAAATTGTTTGATTCATTGTTGGTTGTGTGTTGGGGTTGAAATGAAAAAGGGAAAAAAAGTTAATGTGGTAAGAATGTGTGTATGCATTTAGTGCTGTTTTACAATTACTCTGACAGACTGCACACATTTGCAGCTGCTCCACTACAGGGGAAAAATTATTTCACAGCATAAATACTCCTACCGTGAACACGAGTAATGATCAATGCAAACGGTAAAGCAGAAAAAATTCTAAGCCAAACTCTTGCAGGTTCAATTTAAAGTTACCAATTGTTCAGAGTCATCTTAATTTATCTTGTTTGTTGGCATGTCAGTTCTACACTGTTTGACCATTTAGTACAGTCTATATATATGCAAACCATATATAAAAATAAGATCTGTCTAGGTAGGTAGTAGTTAGGTTTTGAGGCACAGGAGGTTAGAATGTTTTATTTAGAGTGTGTCAGATGAAACAGCCTTTTCTCTTTGTCAGTATTTGGAATTTCAAGGAACGGTTAAAATTTTCCGCCAAGAATTTGACATTTTATGGCATTTTCGGCTGAAGAGTTTTAGCAGCCAAAATGTAGGTGCATTCATCATTTTCTTTACTTTTATCTTAAAATTTTTAGTGAGCGAGCTTCAAACAGGATAAGAAATTCCATGATGTTTACAGTCCAGCATCAAACTGTCCGTTATGAGCCATTACTGTGTGTAATGCTTTAAGTCTTTAACTGAAAAACACTTAAAACTTGTTTTCACCAATTCAAATAAAGATGAAATATAAAAAATATTAATATTAGATGATAACACTTCAACAAATTAGAAACATTGCCTTAGAAACTAACTGAAAGAAAATAAGCTTAAATTGAAGTACTAAAATTACTAAAACTGAATTAATTTTTTTTTTATATTTTTTGTTTTTGTTTATTTATAATAAGGTAATATAAAGTTACTAAAACTTATAAAAAAATAAGCTGAAAATATAAAAATAAAAGCAAATATTAATAAATGATATAATAGTATATAAATAACAGATCAGTGTGTCCAATATGATCTTTAATCAGTCTAATCACGTCTTTATGATCAACAATAAAAAAAATTTTTTTAAAGGGGTCATATGACGTTGTTAAAAAAGAACATTATTTTGTGTATTTGGTGTAATGAAATGTGTTTATGCGGTTTAATGTAAAAAAAAACACATTATTTTCCACATACTGTACATTATTGTTTCTCCTCTATGCCCCGCCTTTCTGAAACGCATCGATTTTTACAAAACTCATCGTTCTGAAAATCGAGGTGTGCTCTGATTGGCCAGCTATCCAGTGCGTTGTGATTGGCCGAATACCTCAAGCGTGATGGAAATGTTACGCCCCTTACCATACTGTGATGCCGTGTCCCGGCACGACGAGAAAAAACATTAAAACCCATTATAAACGAGGCATTTGTTGCATCCAGTGGGGACATAATTACTGATTATAATGACTTATACTGTCTTTTTACGCGTTGCGTTGCATCACGCCTCGTAAACATAAAACCATGTCTGCATTTGTGATCGGAGAAATGACAAACAAGAAGAGCTACTCTACACTGCTCAAAATTCGCGTTTGAATCGTCATCGGCAAATTCTTTAAATATGAAAACATACTTACAGTCTGTGAGTCAGCATTATTTATCAGCATCATAGACTGTATAGGGTCAGCATGCGTGCCGCAAGGGAAACGGGGGAACTGAATTCACCGGAACACCCGCATTGTAGGCTACTCTCCCAGGAAACAGTCATCGTCCTCCATAATCTAAATATTTGGTTTGAACCGTTCTGGAACGGTGTCGTAAATACAACTTAACCACTGATTTCTAGCTGTGTTCTCTTTTGGAAGACCAAACAAAGTAGTTTCGCTTTCACAACGAAACAGCATTCTCCACGACAGGGCGGCAACAATACTACAGCGAGAATCAAAGTTACGCCTTCTTTCTTTACGTGAACATTTGGGTGGCATTATGCAAATCTTCCCACACAGTGACGTAGACACGTGGAGGCATGTTTAAACGAGGCGTTTTAGGAGGGCGTGGACGAGTCTCAACTTTTATAAAGAATATCTCTTTGGGTTTGAGACTTTAGTCTTTTTTTAAACTTTAGGGATCTTATCTATTCACATACAGTTTGTAACACTCCAAAGAGAAAGGAAAACTTAAAATCGCATCATATGACCCCTTTAAATATTGTAGAAACCACTTTGTTGCATCTGCACACGTTAATTTTGCTCTCTTGATAGTATCTAGATTTGCAGTGTGATGCACACTGTGCTTTTAATATTGACAGACAAAAAAGTGGCCCTATCAGCTGTCACGTGTCTACTTCATCAGTAGCTGATGGTAACACACAAAAAAGTCTCACGTCTCCATGTTGTCTCCCTCAAGGATGGTCTGGACGGGAAGGTAACCCATGCGAGGATGCTTGGCAAAATAGCGCTTTGTCCTGAACTTATTCTTCAACACCTTGGCAAAGTCTCGCACGTCCTCTCCTGATGTCGTCTATAAAAGGACACAGAGAAACAAAAAGTCATTACTTTAGTATCTGGCGTAGATGGCAGAGTCAACGGATTTTAAGATTAAACTTCCAATGCAATGAAGGCAAAAAGCTACAATGTATATACTAACCACAAGTGATGCAAAAAACCTACCGGTGTGCAATATTCAACCATAGGGTACTGCATCTTGTGACCTTTGGCCACTCTGCCAGAAAAAAAGCAGCTTTGGCAGATATCATAGTTAAAGTGCTTTAAACTCCGGTACCTGTAGAGACCAGACACAAACAATGAGATCAGTGTTTAAGTCACTGGCAAAACATTCAAAACATCCTGGATCTGAAGCAACATGCACGCAAGATTACTTCCAAGAAAGGTGTAGTTACATCTTGATCCTACTGGTGGAGCATTTCCCTGTTCTTACCTACTCTCAACAGTGAGTATATTACAGTCTGATTTTATACATGCTACTTAAAGGGAGGGTTCAACCAAAAGAAAATTCAACATCGATACCAAATCAGCATTTTTCAACAGATTTCTGAAGGATCAAGTGACACTTAAGACTGGAGTAATTCAGCTTGGCCATCACACAAACAAATTATATTTTAAAATGGAAAGCAATTATTTTAAATTGTAATATTTCTTAATATTACAATTATTTTAAATTGTAATATTTCTTAATATTACGTTTGTACTGTATTTTTGACCAAATAAATGCAGCCTTGGTGAGCGTAAGAGACTTTGTTTAAAAAAAAAAATAAATAAAATAAATAAATATATATACGTATATTATATATATATATATATTTTTTTTTTAATCTTACTGACCACAATTTTTTGAAAAAGTCATACAGGTTTAGAATGACATGAGGTTAAGTTAATAATTACACCAATCCTTTCATTTATTTATTTATTTTTTTTTTTTTTTGAGTGAACTCTATACTCACGACATGGCAACAAACATTAATGTTATTCTGGAGTGAAAAAGTTACTCCATATTTTCACTTGGGTTATGCCAAGTGAAAATATCTTTTAAGACATTTATTTGTCAGTTTCTGTCAATTGTTATTTGGTTTTTCAATGCTACAGAAACTGCGCTGGTTTTGCTTTTTGAACCCAGATTTTGTATTAGAACTAAGTGCTGACTGACACAGAAATGTATACATACTACCATGAACCTGTGTAGAAATTAACATGATATAAGATGATATGTGACCCTGGACCATAAGAATCATAAGGGTCAATTTTTCGAAATTTAGATTTATACATCTTCTGAAAGCATTGAGTTGATTTACTGAAATAAATGAACTTTTCCACGACATTCTAATTTATTGAGATGCACCTGTAAGCTAAATAGGAAAAGTGAAAATGTTGTGCATAAACAAAAACAGCGGTGTGATTTCTCAGCTTAACACATGCAACAAACACGAGGCAAAACACTATTATATTAGCCAAATTATCATGCAACAGAGCAATGTATAGTTGTATTTCATTATTTTCAGTATTGTTTTTCCATGCTATCCATTAAATTATTATTTGCTGGAAATATACTGGATTGTGAAGAATTAGTGGTACAGAACCAAAAAATATTTTTGAAAAGTAGTACACTAATGAATTGTAAGACCAGCAAAAAATTAAACAGGGTCACTTTAAAATTATGTTGAATTTAAAGTGAAACATATGAAAATACTTTATGTAAAGCAAAAGCAGGACTAAATAAAACCTCTAAAAGAAAATGAACACTGCAGCTTTCCGAGCCTCAAAACAGACAGTTATTCTTTTTGCCTTGAAGTTTGGTGCAATGCTTAATAATGCACAAAAAAACAAAAAACCTGCTGATACTTTTAAAGCACTTGAAACAGAATCAGTCATTCTGAAAAATAGCACTAAAGAAAAGGTCCATACCTGAAGCCAATAATAGGACATTCCTTACAAATGTTGCATTTAGCCTGGTGCTTTGCTGCCTCAGCAGCCGCCACACGATGAAGGACAGGAAGCCAAACCATCGACTGAGGTTCTAAACGCATCCAGTCCAGGAAGACTGAAGCCTCTAGCTCTGGTTTGTTATTGGCCTTCATATCAGAGCAAAAGAAAATAAATGCAGGAAACGCAGAAAAAAATGCTACTGAAGTGCATATTCTACATGGCCGCTTTAACTTAAATCTGCTCATGAATGAAGACAGTGGTTACTTACAAACTGAAAGCAGCTGCGCACACTGGGCTCGATATTGCTCCCACCGAAAGACGCCACCTCACCCAGCTGCCTGGGGATCTGAATGGCGTCGTGCAGAAGGAGGCCGAGGCGCCGCTGGTCACAAAAGCCTGTGGCACTGGCCACCTCTCTGAACAAAACTAGAGGGTTCAGGAGGAAATTATGAGGGGAAAAATGTAACGGTCAAAACCATGAAGTTTTGATTTACACACACACAAAAAAAAAAAAATCCTTCGATCCATACTCAAGCATCTAACTGAATTTTTCAACGTAAAATATTAAACATTTACAAAAAAAGTATTGATTTATATATATATATATTTTTATGTGTGTGTGTGTGACACTGAAGACTGGAGTAATGGCTGCTAAAAAATCAGCTTTGCCATCACAGAAATAAAACACATTTTAAAATATATTCAAATAGAAAACAGTTATTTTAAATTGTAATAATATTTCACAATATTACTGTTTTTACTGTATTTTTGATCAAATAAATGCAGCCTTGGTGCATGAGCATAAGAGACTTTTCTAAAAATTAAAAATAAATGTAAATGGTTGTGTGTGTGTATATAGTGTAAATATGCTCTTCAGTTTTTCACCATTGGGAACAGTTGTTTGTTTGTATCATCACTGTGAAGTGTATAAAACACTTGTTATTAATGTAAATGCCAGCAATTGCTGTGTGGTTGCTAGGTGGGTAAACATTTATTTCTGAGCAGCTGTTGCACTACCCTGTGTGCTAGAATGGGCAAACTCCAAAGCTTTACAACTGTGTTTACAGCAGTGCTATTAACAAGTAAACAATGACAACAAAATACAAGACACTAAAAACACCTGAGAGAGCTGTAAACGGTTGGTAGTACAGTTCCATAAACTGAGTGATTATCTTGGCTCTTATAACAGCTTAGAGACAGAATAGAAAGAACGAAACACATAAGATAAGCAACAAAAAAAAACATACATCTGTACTTATCTTCAAGGTGAGCTTTGCACAAACAGATTATTCCTGTTTTGAAGGATAGGGTACGAATCTTTCCAGTTCGTCCTCTGCGGAAAAAAATAAAATAAATAGGTGATAAATTACTTAAGCAAGACCGTCAATTGCTCTTTTTTATAAATCTATTTTTGCAGATAAAGAGTCAAGATCAGGAACAAAACCATCTAGATGCACCATAGCTTGATAAAATATACAGTACTGCTGCTTTTAAAAACAAACTCTTTTGAATTTGAAAGCGTTCAACCAGGATAGAAGTTTACATTTAAGACAGTTTAAAACCTTTTTAGGATACAAACAAACAAATACAATTACTATTGTATGACCCTACAGAACAAACCCATAATAATAAAAAAAAAAAAGTATGTATATCTTCTATTTAATTCAACAGGCTGGGGCACATATTCAATCTAACGACTGGTACAGTTCTGCCATCTTTGGGTGGTCCCAGCATGTTGTTTGGGTCTGGTGACTGAGAGCAAAAACATGATGAAAACAATAAACGGTACTTCTATCTAAAATTAGGGCTGGACAATAATTAAATATCAATAGAGAAAATATAACATTCTGCAGTTTATTTAATAATCGTTTGAGGTAATTTCGCGATTTCAATCATCATACAGTAACCTAACCACTAGCATTAGCCACCTCTTCTTCTCATCGGAGACTTGATGCAGCACCAAGTCTCTCGCTGTCGGTGCTTCACGCTTGTAATGATTTCTGCATCTTTCTCTGATAGTTTTAAATACTTTCACACTGTCGACATGTTTCCTGCATTAGCGCGTGCCTCTATTTGATCGCGTTTGTCATTGTTCGGTTCATATTATTCGGCCTTTTCGCTTATTCAGCAGAATAATTTCTGTTGCCGAATATTCGGTGCATCCCTAGTAATATAATCACTTTAATGTAGCTTGCGCCAACAGTTGTACATGGAAGCAGCTCCAGGCGGATGATGTATGAGTTCGGCTTTGAGCATGCGCCGCTCAGAAGTGACGACCGCGGAAGCGCAGGGGAGAGATCAAAACAAAACAATGGTCACTTATTAGAAGTACAAAACGAGGATTTGTCAAGAAGAATGTCGGAGGATTTCGATAAAGCCAAGAGGAGACTGGTTTTCCTTTGCTAAAGTAAGGAAACTTTGCTTCCTTTGCTCCTGTTAACAAACGCTGGTTTTCACGAGACTCACCGGCGCATACGCAACGCTGAACTCATACGTCATCAGCCCGGAACTGCTTCCATGTACAACTGTTGGCGCAAGATACATTAAAGTGATTATTACGTTTTGAATATGGATATTTTTCTTACAAAAACGCATTGATTCGCTACAGGAGGCCTTTGTTCACCCCCTGGAGCCGTGTGAGACACTTTTTTTTAATGGATGGGTGCTTTTTATTTAACTTCTTTTGGACTGATGAATGCAACACCCACTGAGTGGCATTAAACAGCTTGAAAGATCAAAGACAATTTTTTATATAACTCCGACTGGGTTCGTCTGAAAGAAGTCAGTCATATACACCTAGGATGACTTGAGGGTGAGCAATTTATGGGCTAATTTTCATTTTTGGGTGAACTAACCCTTTAAACCGCCAAAAACTCATCTCTGCCAAAATCTCATCTTGCAACTCAATCACTTTATCTGATATTTCCCAAGAATAAACAGTTCGCAGTCTATTGTTTAAGATCCTACTTCTGACCATTGGAGTAGTTTTGAGTATCGGCGTTATTGTACTGGATTGTCTTTGTTTGAGTCTTAAAAGAAGAAAGTTTAGACTTCTAGATTCACAACAGTGCCTGCTTTGTTACAAGGGCTCTAAACGAATCCATTAGTGGAAATGCAATTTACAATAGCGAGATGCCTTGTTTTGAAGTGTTGCTATGGGCCGGGATGTTTTTTGTGATTTTGGACTAAAGCCAGCCAAGTGGCTCTGCAGAGTTCTAAGAAAGTAGAGAAACTTCAAAACTAATATATTATACCCAGACCCTACAGTGTTTTTAGCAAGGAAAAACACAGACTAGGGTTTCAACCATCAACAAAAATTAAATGAAAGTGAACTTCCAAGCACTGTTTTTCAGAAGAAATCTTTTTTGAAAAAAAGTCAAAGAGGTCGAAATGAAAAGTATGAAAGAAATTTAAAAGGGTTGCAGAAAACATCAACGTCTCTGAAATGCAAACATTATGGCATGGAATCACTTTCACACTTAGACCACTAAAAAAGTACCATAGTAATACCAATACCATGGGACTGCGACAGCATTGTTTGTTAAGCATGCTGCTAACTAGTGCTGGGCGGTATGACCAAAAATGTATATCACGGTATTTTCCAAAATTATACCCGTTTCACGGTACATGACGGTATTTTTTTTTTCATGCATGACCGGGTGTTAACCATATTTTCTACTGATTGAGAGAGGAAATACTGCAGTATATTGACTTAGAATTACCTATTTTACTGTCATGATGAGTGAATATTGTAGAAAAATACCACACTAGTGACTAAACACGACCCCTTTTAATGTTAACCAGGAGTCCCTCTCATTTACAATCGCGGCACCGTCTGATAAAATCAACATGCATCTACACTAAAGAGCGGCTATTTTGACTATTACTTTTGAGACAATCATGCAGCGCACACTGCTTGCGTCTGAGTAACAAACGGGGGGGAAAAAAAATGCATGTGATATTAACAGACAAACTACGCACATTTATAATTCCAAACAATCAGTAAGCGACAGGTACTAGGAAACTCTGTTTTGTACTCATTTATTGACGAGTCGGCTGCGGTGCGGCCAACTGAATGCGCTGCTTCTCTGCCGCTCACTGCACAGAACAGACGCCGAGAGAGGTGACACTTCTCCGGGAAAGTCAGACCTCGTGTTCGCGGGACAGCACTGACGAAATCTTCCAACTGAACCACAGCTAAGGTTTATCCAAAAAAGTAGCTAGGTTTGTCAGTATGAATATTCTATGGAAAAAAGCCGCTAAAAGGGTCTGAAAGTTGCTAAATCTAGTGCTAAAGTCACACTCGTGTGTGTGAGACGCGGGAGCTGATGGCAGGGGGGCGGTGGATATTTGTGGCGGTCAGTGTGGATATTGTGGATGAGTTTTTCTGTGTCATCACGTTCTATTAGTTCTACAGCTTCAGTTTCGGAAATTTCACGCATAGTAACACATACAGCTGTTCCCTCACCACAGTGCAACAGTGAAAAGGGACACCTTTCAAACAGTGTCGCGTTCCAAACGTTGTTTAAGCGACATACACCGGTATTGTGGTATTTTAAAAATTCATATAACAAAAATAAACACTGGTATTCGGTATGAACTGGTATACCGCCCAGCACTACTGCTAACCTGGAAAAAATGTGAAACACTTCTATGAAGCAACAGTAACAATATATGCTTGACATTTCTAATACACATGCTGGCATACTGATACTAATATTTAAATCTGGTGAAGTAGTATTTTTTGAGTAATACACTATGTATAGGTTTGCTACTCATTATAACCCGTTTACAACAGTAAGACTGATGTAAGCCTTCTAGTTTGAAATGTGAACCCCTTCAGACTGAAGTCATGTGTGGCATTTAATCTGAATGGCTCTGAATGCATCACAAGTTATCGGCATTGTTCGATGCCCTGCAAATCACAATTGTTTTATTCTACTCACAGCCTCTTTTAACAGAAAGAACCAAAAACTACACGCAGAACTGTTATTTATGACAAAATCGTGTTTCTTTCCTTCCTTGCAATTCACACATATTCAATAATTTGTAGTAATAATAGTTTGTAAATAATAATAATTCTAATAATAATAAAAGAAAGTAGTTTACTGCTTTGGAAAGTGCTTTCCAAATAAGTTTGAAATTATCTCTTCAGGTTTACTCCAAGTGTGCATAGAATTTTATATATATTTATTAGGGGTGCTCCGATCAGGAATTTTGAGGCCGATCACCAATCGCAGAAAGCAGTATCTGCCGATACCGATATTTTTAAAGCCTTCTTTTTTTCATTTATAACCATTTATAGCGATACTCCAATCAGGATTTTTAGACATTTATTCAGGGCCTGAATTTCATTTTTGAAAATGGGGGGAATTCCCCTCTTGGATGTCTCTTGTGAGAGGAGAAGCAGCTTTCACACAGGAGTCCACTACTGGTCTGTGGCTGTTTACCACAAACACAACATTTATCCATTATTTTAATTTCAAATGCAAACATTGTTACTGAAAATGCTTTATCAGCATTGAAAATCTTTTTTTTTTTACACAGTACAGTAATACAGTTTTTCACAGACATGTTTAAACAAGAACTCTAGTAGTCTGGTTGTGCTCTCTCTCTCTCTCTCTCTCTCTCTCTATATATATATATATATAGCTATGATCATTAAAAGTTTGGGATTGTTAAGATGTCAGAAATATGTTTTGTGGCCAAATATTATTACAATTTAAAATAAATAAAATTAAGATGTAATTTATTCTTGTAATATCAAAGCTGAATTTTCAGCAGTCATTACTTCAGTCTTCAGTGTCACATGATCCTTCAGAAATCATTTGAATATAATGATTTGGTGCTCAATAAATATTTCTTATAATTGTTGAAAATTATGATACTTAATATGTTAGTGACTTTGATGAATATTAAGTTGAAAGAAACAGCATTTACCAATGGAAAAATCGTAATGTAACTTTAGGTCAATTTAAAGCATCTCCTCTGAATAAAAGAATTACAAAGTATTAATAATTCTGAACTGAAATATTAAATTTAAATTAATATATTAATTTCAAACTTTTGAATGGTAGTGTATACATTAACACAAAGAAAAACAACATGTAGTACAACGGCCCAACAAAAGACAATTATTTAATTACAATTAATTTAGGAAACAACATGTCTTTATCATGCATGGCATAATTTTTTTTTTTTTTTCTGAAGCGGTATAAAAATGTCTGTACACATAATATATATATCTGTCTTTATATTTTAGGAAGGAGTAATCTTTGACATCAAAAAGTTTGAAACCCCTAACATACAATTTCTGGGCACCACAGGCAGCTCTCTAGGCTTTGAGTCACAGTCAGTATCTGGCAGCGCCCTCTAGATTCAGGTAGACTAGGTAAAGCATGCCAATGGCCTGATGGCAAATTTCCCACAGAACTCCATACCTGCACATCTCAAAGCGGTGCATGAGCGGAAGTACAGCAGTAATGTGGGTTTGGACAAGAAGGAATGCCCACCTACATACATGCATGCATGCATCAGAACAGCACAGGGTACACACACACACACACCATCACGCAGACACCTCTAATTGTGGCTCTTGGTTATGGTTGAATGCAAACGCAGCCATAAGTATGTGGTTAAACCCAAAACAGTGATCTTCTGTGTGGCATAATATTAACTTATGGAAAGCGCACGAATATGGAGGAGCCTTAAAGGCCAAGCGTCGTTATCAACATAAGGATTCCCAATCAAAT